GGAGAGTTGGGCAGAGGAGAGTTAGGTATATTTTCTATACCTTCACTTTCTAGAATGTAAATTCTGTAAATCCCCTGCCCTGCAAAATTCTCTAGAAAGCTGACCTTTGCTGAAGTCCTAGTAGTGCTTCATACACAGAGGGTGCTCAAAAACATCATCAGATGATAACGTCTAGCAGTGCCAAGCAGTTGGCTCTCCTTGGCACCTTTTCTGCTCAGAGAATTAAAATATGTGTGCAGCCAGCCTAGAGGGACTTTACTTTTGTGAAATAGACCATCATTTAAGCTTAGCTGCAGGGTTCTCAGACTAGATAGTCTTCATTGTCCTGGAAGCTGGGACAGATGTAGAAAAAATATGTAGGAAAATCTCTACTAATTCCCGTGTTTCCCATGTACTTTATTTTTTAGTTTGTTCCTGAACTAAACTTCAGGAAGTTTGTGCTTCTTGTTTTGTTTTGTTTTTAATACAAACAGACCTTGTGGCTTTTTTTTAAAGATTTTTATCTATTTATTTATTTATGAGAGAGAGAGAGCAAGCAGGGAGAGAGGCAGAGAGGAAGAGACAATCTCAAGCAGATTCCACACAGAGCACAGAGCCCAACACGGGGCTCAATCTCATAACCCTGAGATCATGACCTGAGTCGAAATCAGGAGTCAGACATTTAACCAACTGAGCCACCCAGACGTCCCCAGACTATGTGACTTCTTGTTTTATATCTTTCTCACATGCACTAGAAAAATAATGGATTCTGGGTACTGTGTGTTTGTGTGTATTATTTCGAGTTTTTCTGCTAGGCTCACCTGTCACTCTTTCTATCCAAATGACCATTTCATAACACTCAGGAAGGATAAGTTAAAGCAGGGAAACTATTAGGTATGTCCTCCCTGCTTTAACTTATCCTTCCACCCAATTCCATGCTGGGCAGCCTCTTTTACATTGGAAAACTGTATATATTTCACTGAAGAAATCAGCACCAATGGGAGCATCTTTAAATTAGTTTTTCTGAGGTTTGATTTCTTGAAAGAGAAACTCAAAAAGTTAACACTAAAGACCTCAGGTGACTGAGATTTCTGGAGACCACAAGAACAAATTTAATTATGCACTCCTGTCCCTCCTAACCAAGACCTGTGCCCTATTTGGCACTGGTTATTTTCCCCAGCCACTTCATCTGAACACTCAAATTTTGATGTACCAGGGTCCACATAGATGAGCAGTGGGATTTCACCTAAATTATGTCTGACCCTCTACCTACTTACATTGGAAGTTATTGGGGTGCCTGGGTGGTGCTGTCAGTTAAGCATCTGACTCTTGGTTTTGGCTCAGGTCCTAATCCCAGGGTCTTGAGATCAAGTCCGGGTGTCGGGCTCCATGCTCAGCGCAGTCTGCTTGAGTTTCTCTCTCTTTCTCCTGCTACCCCCTTCCTCTCTAAAATAAATAATCTTTTTAAAAAAATTGGAAGTTATTGTGTTCACCTGAAATAAGCATGAAAAATAGCATGAACAGCTCTAAAATAGGCATCCTAAGCCCATGGCATTCACCCATCTCTCATTCAAATCAGAGACATTCTTATGAACCATATCCAGACAAAAAACAATTCTGAATATTTAAACTGTATGTTTAAAATCCAACTTAAATGGAATGACACATACTGTTGTAAAAGCAACATACTCCAGGTAGAATCCTTAAAATCTCTCAACACTCAGCATAATCCTAATTGCCATCAGTTCTGTGATCACTGTTTCTTCACAAAGTCCATATTTGAGCTATTTTACCCTAAATTGACTGTTTCAGCAAAGGATGAAAAATAAAGAATCACTATCACTCATATTAGTTTTTATTTGCATATCATATTATCTACAAATTGTTATCTGTGGGGTGGGAGGAAGTAGAGACGATATGTGCCCACATAGCTTCCTTCCTTCTCTGATTTAGTTCAAGAATAGAACAGCTAGACATTTCTGTGCTTATTTGGTTAACACTTTCTCTGTAGCTGACTTAGAACCTTCCTGATAATATTTACAGTTTTCTATAGGAAACTATATGTAATCTGTATCTGTTTTATGAAAATATCCATGGGTTTCATAATTATCCTCCAACCTAATAAATTCTCTTAAATTGATTGCACAGTTACTCAGCTGTGTGTTAACTCCTGGCTCAATAATAAAGCTAAAATGTAGCTATTTCACCTTTAAAATTAATAATGCCACAAAAAAATCAATGTGTATCTCATGTAAAAAATAAGAACAATTAATGTCAGTTAAACGAACTGTCATTTGTTCCTATAATTCCCTTAAATATGTTATATAAAGACATTTGGTACATTAAGAAAATTGAGATTTAGGTGTTTTGCTTTCAGACAAATGGAAATTGTCCTGACCCTAATATGAAGATGCTTTAGATTTTCTCACATATGTGAAATTTCTCTGACTCCTGGTTTATTTCTTGGCTATTCTGTTATACAAAAATACAGTTTAAAATAAGTAAGTACCCCTGAAACAAATAATACATTATATGTTAATAAAAAATAAATAAAATTTTAAAAGAATAAAATAAAATAAGTAAATAAAATTGTGCTCATCCGTAATACTCATAGAAATCTGTACCCAAAAATCCACTAACAATTACATACCTTCAGTTCAAGTTACACCCATGTAGATAGAGAGATGAACAGATCAGAATTGTACATACACTGATACTTAAGCCTCACCACACAGATAATTAATCTCTGTAGTACAAGAACTTTTATGTTTCTTTTTTTTTTTTGAGACTTTATTTATTTGAGAGAGAGAGAATGAGAGAGAGAGCACATGAGAGGGGGGAGGGTCAGAGGGAGAAGCAGACTCCCTGCCGAGCAGGGAGCCCGATGCGGGACTCGATCCAGGGACTCCAGGATCATGACCTGAGCCGAAGGCAGTCGCTTAACCAACTGAGCCACCCAGGTGCCCAACTTTTATGTTTCTTTCCTTGATTTTGCCTTAGGTATTAACCACCCAAAAAGTAACAGGGCTGTCTTTAAACATCTGTGCCAAACAGCTGGGTAGCATTTCACTTGACATAACAAGAACTTCAATAACATGACTTCTAAAAAATTAAAAGCTAGTTTGGATCACTTTTGTCTTTGGGTGCTTGGGGCCATTTGGAGTGGAAAGAATTCTGCCGTTAATTAGAAGTGCACACAATGAGGAAGTAGAGTCTGACATGGTTTCCCTTCAATGGTTCTGCTCATTCTAAAGAGAATCCATGTTGCAGTTCACGAAAATGTTGGTGCTCTTGGTTTGAGTTCGAATATTTTAGCCTCAATATCTAAGAGCATTCTAATTGTCCATGAAATCAGACACAACCCAGTAGAAACAAGATTTTTTTAGCCTATCTTTAAAATAACACAAGTGAAAGGGAAACAAAAGAAAAAATAAACTACTGGGACTACATCAAAATAAAAGGTGGAACAGCAAAGGAAATAATCAACAAAACTAAAAGGCAACCTATGGAATGAGAGAAGAGATTTGTAAATGATATATCCAATAAAGGGCTAGTATCCAAAATTTGTAAAGAACTTATACAACTCAATACCAAAACAAATAATCCAATTAAAAAATGGGTAGAAGACATGAACAGACATTTCTCCAAAGAAGATATACAGATGGCCAATAGACACATGAAAAGATCCTCACCATCACTCCTCATCAGGGAAATGCAAATCAAAACTACAATGAGATATCGCCTCACACATGTTAGAATGACTAAAATCAACAACACAAGAAACAACAGGTATAGGTGAGGATGTGGAGAAAAAGGAACCCTCAGGTACTGTTGGTGGTAAAGAACTTGCAAACTGGTAAAGCCACTGGGGAAACAGTATGGACATTTCTCAAAAAATTAAAAATAGAACTACCTTTCAATCCAGTAATAGCACTACTGGGTATTTACCAAAAAAATACAAAAACACTAATTCAAAGGGATACATACACTCCTATGTTTATAACAGCATTATTTATAATAGCCAAGATATGGAAGCAGCCCAAGTATCCACTGATTGATGAATGAATAAAGAAGATGTAGTATATATGTGGAATATTATTCAGCTATAAAAAAGAATAAAATCTTGCCATTTGCAATGACATGGATGGATCTAGAGAGCATAATGCAAAATAAAATAAGTCAGAGAAAGACAAATGTCATATGACTTCACTCATATGTGGAATTTAGGAAACAAAACAAAAAAGCAAAGGGGAAAAATGAGACAGAGAGTCAAAGCAAGAAACAAATTCTTAATTATAGAGAACAATCTGATGGTTACTAGAGGGGAGGTAGGTGGGGGGATGGGTTAAATAGGTGATAGGGATTAAGTAATGCACTTGTGATGACTACAGGGAACTGTTAAATTACTGTGTTGTACTCCTGAAATTAATATAATACTGTATTTTAACTGGAATTAAAACAAAAACTTAAAGTAAGGGATGCCTGGCGTACTCAGTCGAAAGAGCACGTGATTCTTGATCTCAGAGTTGTGAGTTTGAGCCCCACATTGGGTGTAGAGATTTCTTAAATAAATAAACCTTAAAAAAAACTTAAAATAAATAAGTAAAATAACACAAGTATGCATATCATAATCCTAATTTCAGTCCTGAATATACAATGATCCAGGAATAAAGTATCTTGTAATAAAAGGTTTCTCAAATTATTTTACCTTTGTGAGTACCCTTAGCTGACAGATGATTTGCAGGGACTCCACTCAGTAAAAAGATTGTAATTAGCTTAATCAATCATATTAGCGCCCTCCTAAATTTTAAGTAAAACATATGGGGATAACTAGCCAGTCAGCAGTGAGAAGAGCAAGGCGTAGATGTACAGAGAGAAAAAAAGACACCATAAGAAGGAGACTGGAGGCAGCAGGAGTTAGTCCCTAAAACTGCCTCAGAAGTTCATGTTTAATGAGGTCTTAGTATGTGCCAGGCTTTAGTTAAACACTTTACCTGCATCATTTTATTTAATTCTCACAGCCATGTTCTCATGAAGATACCGAATTTTAGAGGTGTGAAGTGACCAGAACACTATCAAAGTCTACCATCAAGATTGCAAAACCTGTGCTGTGCCAGCTCAGAACACAGCCAGAAAGAGCCTCTGGTTATAGCTTTTAGCATCATCTTGTCCTGGTCCTGAAGAAGTCAAGTTTTCTAGAGCAAGCAAGCCTTCTCTGAATTAGTACTGATTCGACCAATTATGGAATTGAGAATAATGGTAAGTGAAAGGGAACAATTCTTAATGAAACTCGTATTTGGCTTTTAGGACATCAGGGTGAAAAATGAATACATTCTGTGGCAGTACTCCAACATCCTGAAAAGCATGATTATTTATTTCCTCCCTCCTTCAAGATTACCACTGTCCAAGATTACCGAGCGAGATTACTAATAGTCATTAGAAGCAGCTTGTACATGCTGAGACAGTAAATAGTAAGGCGAAGGTAGAAGTCTATGTGCCCCTTTGCTTAGCAGTCCTCAGGAAAGACACTGGGACGCCCAGAAAACACGACTGCTTCAAGAAGAAAAAATGGACAGGAGGTAGTGTATTTCTCATTGTTCCTGACCTCCCTTTTAGTATCCCTTAATTCCTTGTGTCACAACAGGAGGTAAACTTAAGTTTGTTGGTGAACTCTTTCCCAGAAGTTTCTGGTGCTTATATTATACTTCCTAATCATCTATTAAAAGTCATGTATTGTTAAATACATAAAGATCTCTTTCTCAATCTCAAAAAGTGTGTGTGTGTGTGTATGTGTGTGTGTTCTTTCCACTTGGTGTATATACATCAGAGGATTTCACAAAACACCCAGTTTATAGTTCAATTTCCCACTCAAGTCGTCAGTGATCCCACTGCATGATGGGAGGAGTCTTTCTGCTTCTTTATCAATATGACAAGAGAAGAATTTGCTTTTATTGGTATCTTCCCTTTGAAGTGAAGTGAAACCCCACTGCTTTTATTTTGTTGGTAAAAATCCTTAAGAACCCTCCTATCTTTGACCCCATATGGAGTCCTATAATCTAGTCTCACTTGGGGCACCAGAACCTTTTAGGCCATCACTGCTGAAATTGGTACTGGAAAGGAAAATAATATCTCTCAGAAAAGTCAGAGAGACTAACAGGAAATTGTGTGAGGAGAATATGAGAAAGAAAAAAGCTGAGAGGGATTTTCGTGTTTCATTTTTACTCGAACTTTTAAAGTTAACTCTTTGTTGTTTATAATACTCTTGTTTGCTTCGTTTTGAATCACACATTTCTGTGAATCAGCTTTAGGACTAAAGCCATGTAAAGCATTGAGAAAATAATTGTTTTTCAGAAGAGTTTCTTGGAGCTCTTATTTCGTGTATACAGCACACCATCCAAGAGGGTTTTGCATCAATGTCTGGGAAAAATAAAAATGATATTGTCAGACTTTACATAGAAAACAGCAATGAGGCTCATAGCAGTTACTAATACCAAGTAGGAAGAAAATAGTTCCATGTTTATTTATATATTGTACAGATATCCTTTACTCCTTATTTCTAAGTAAATTCCATACATACATTTCTTAATTTTTATAATAAGATAGAGATAAATGATCAGAAACCAGGGGGAAATAGAATAAAAATGATTTTTCCAGGAAGAGCACTACAGTTAATTTCCAGTTTGACTTGAGCTTTTGAGACTCAGCAAAATCAGGAAAGAAAACATGTTGTACATTCTTATTATCAAATTACCAAGAGAAACAAGTGTTTTTCTGATAATAAATGCTAATAGAAATTGGTCACTCTAATTGTTATTATAAGAGCCATTTGAAAGTCCCTTACTTAACTTCTAATAACATCATTTGAAATTTTACTGCAGGAATAGAGCTTAAAGAAATAGAGGAAGGAAGAATTAACCTATCTATCTCATATGTATGTTTTGCAAGTTGAGTTTTAATAGGTGCTAGAGAACATGCATTCAAAGTTTTAACTTCTCAGCAAAGACCTGATGTGGCAAAACACATTTTGCTCTGAAAACCAATGGGCTTGTAGTTGTGCCCAAATATAATCATCCCAACCCATAGAGATGGCCTTCGGAGATATCTATGAGTAGGGTCAAACATCTCTCTGTCTCTCTCTGGATTTAATGCAGAACGCAGAAGCCACTCTAGGTATTTCCAGCAGAAAGGGATTTAATACAGGAAACCAGGTGATTACACAATAATTGGAAGGATTAGAAAAGCTTAAGTCACAGGTCTTTTGGTTCTAAGGTCAGCTGTGAACCAGATTTTAGCAAATTACTGCTACTATTAATATATCAGCTGACACAAACTTGGCTCCCTCCCAATAATGAAGCTGCTGACTATACCAGGAAATGTAGAGTCCAGAGCTTGGTTGTTGACTGCCACTGCTGCAAGAAGATAGCCTTCGATTTCCTTTTACCTTTAAAATTTCTTTGAATTACATATCATAATACATCCAGAATCCTAGCTGCAAAGGAATCTGAGAAATGCAAATTTTATCCTTCCAGCCCTTCAATATAGGGAAGGAGGACATGGAGCAAGATATAAATGGATTTTTGGCAAAAGTACACTTCCACAAAGAACTTTTATTCTGCCCTTTATGCATCTTTGACTGAGACCTTCATGTTCTGTGTCCATAATATGTTAAGTGCTATCTGTATACCAGGCTTCTTCAGTTCCTGAATCAATCCTGACTGCAGTTGAAAGCACTTGTGCTACTACAGGTTTGCTCATCTTTTTTCTCAATTGGGAATGAGTAAGTTGAACCAAGTGGGTAAGGATGGGTCAGGGTAGGTCAGAATGAATCAGGGTTGACCCTTGGGAATTAATGTGGTTCCTGAACTGACTGTATCTCTTTGGCCCAGGATGCAGAGTCCCTGAACAGACCCAATTCCAGCCTCTCTTGTCAATCCTGTTTTGCTGCATGTGAGTTATCATGCTTTGGGGATAAATCCTAATACAGAGAGTCAATTACTTGAACAGATGCTTTATTTATTTGTATAATGAGTAATATTTGCTAAAAAGAGCAATTTATTTTTAACAGAGCTGATACTAACCTGCTATTTTCTAGAGTAAAGGGCCAGCAGGTTCAATGCCTTCTTAAAACCATTCCTGTGATGACATAGGTATGTGTCTTGTGTTTGTTATGGTGGATGTGAATAATTTCTTCTTATCTGAATCAAGTTATTTATAGATTTGTTTAAAGTTATGACCTGCAGATCAACCTTCTTTTCCACCGTTTACAGTTGGTATTTGACTGGTCAGAAAAATCATTCTTGCCTTTTCTGATTCTGACAGATTGTTAACAGTTTAGATAGATTAGACCCCAATAATGTCCCTGTCTGTAATAGGGTAGAATGTGAATCTATTGTACATAGTCTAAAATCTCAAACATAAACATTCATATCAGAGATATAGCTGACAACACAAGGAAAACCTCAGTGTTGGCAGAAGGTAACAAGGAAAAACAGATGGCTAATAAGCAGGTAGCCCTGTGAACAGAAATAACCCCTCTGGTGATTAATAATAGGAATAACACCACAGATGTGGTAACACTCAACTTCCGTACTTGGTTATTTTCAGGCAAATGCTGTGGGTGGGATTTTTAGTTATTATCATGGTTTTTCCTCATGTGAAATCAGATTCTTCCACTAACTTTGCTTGGTAAAAATCAGATTTACCTTCCAAATGTTACTATCACATATACTCTCTGGAAACATTTGTCTTTTTGAAAAACAAGGAATGACCATGTTTTATTAATTTCCTTTATTTCATTATTCAATATATTTATGCTTTAGAAAGACTTTCTTATCAAATAAAATAATTGCTAATGTGGAAAAGTTATTTCCCACACTATTAAGTCTTTAGTGTAAGATAGCAAATACATATCTCAAAATAGTCTGCAGAATGGCTTGTATTTGCCCCATGGAGTGTATAAAATCATACTTTAAGATGTAGGGTTGAGGGAAATCCCTAGAAGTTTGTTTTGGATTTATTTTTATTGTTATGCCATACTTTTCTCATTTTTTGGTATCCATTTTGTAATGTTTTTATAAATCTGGCAGTATATGTATGTAACTTATAAATAAGTATGCATATAATTGAAGTTCATGCTCAAACAATTTTAACAATGGAGGTACAAAATCAAGAATTTTGAGAACTACCATTCTACATAAATGTTTGTTTACAAAACCTGCAGTAGTCCATCATATTCTCAAAAATTAATCAAGAGCTCAGTGAACATCTTATTGTAAATTTTTAATTCTTTCATGGATATAAGAAGATGAATCTTAGAGTCAGAGAATTACAGAACTTTACTTCTGGAAGGAGAATACAGATAATCTCATCCAACTCCCTCATTTTTCTGATGAGCAAAATGAAACTCCGAGGTTAAGTAACAATGTGTCACTCTACTTGCCCAGTGAAGAGGAAGAGGTAGTGTTCTTTCTGTAGCTGTCAGATCACTGCCCACACTCAACTTGTGTCATAACATAAACGCAGCTCATGTTGGTGCCTGTCATCAGCCATGCATATGATATCGACTTCTAATCAAATGCTACTGTGTGTGGCTGCTTCAGTGTCAATGGCAGTTGTATGAACACTGTGATACTATTAGTACATGGAAGGCCAAGGAATGCTTCCAGGCTAAGAACACATAGTCTCACTCATTAACATTTGCATTCACTGTCCATTCCAACTGAAATCTTTGGACCTGGTCTTTCTGGCCCTGGATCTTAAGTTTATACAAATCTGTGTAACAGCTTTTGCTTACCCGTGGAAACGTGCTGATTTGTTGGATTAAAGTAAATAGATTAAATTATAACAATAAGTACATGTGGTTAACTTTATAAGACCATTATAATCTCTTTGGCTTCCAACCTTTGTACTCTTTATTTTGCTTAGTGGTTAAGGAATACTAACTTTATAGAACTGGGGGCTTTCTATCTCAAGGCTAGTTATGTATTACCATCCCTGCTGACCCACATGATACCCCGCTCTCCATGACCATGCATGCTGGTTTCACATTCATACTAGGATAGCATTTTAAGCTCTTGTCTTCTCCCTACTCCTATAAAAGCCAGTTCCTCCAGGGCATCAAGATAAACTAGGCTGGCCCTCTCCTGATACTATTCTTCCCAGCTGACCAGCACTTTCCCCACTTTAGATACAATGGTTGGTCTTCTTCCCTCTCAAGCTTTCTGCAGTCCTTGACATTTGATCATTTACTTTTT